TACTTAGGAGCCTATGGGTAACTTCAGGAAGTCGAAGACCTCCGACTGCTACGTTTTGGGAGGCGAGGCTTTGGATTCTAATGTAGGGGCCTGTAATACTTGGAATAGGGCGTTGGGGCATATTCTACCATAACCATAATGAGGACCNNCCCCCCAAAAAAAAAAAAAAACAAATAATATATATATATATAGGTAGTGATAAAGGCGCATAGATTAGGCGATCTGAGGTTCATTGGGCTTTTCAAAAAGACCTAGGCTTCCAGGTTGTTCAGGCTTTTGTTCAGGCGTTAGGCTTTGTTTTGTGTGTTTTTTTTCTGTGTTTTTTGGTTAAAAACAGGTATGGCTCAAGCATATCATAGAAGCCCCGACGGCTCCTACACGAGTTTGACGCATGTTCCACCCTAAACCTCAAGCCCAGAACCTTTCAACACCCTTGTATAATCCACCCCAAGAAAGATAAAGAGCGCGAAACCCTGCAAGCAGCGTCCCCTCTCTCCATAATGAAAGTCCAACCCCTACTATAAGCATAAGCCCCCCCCCCCCACCCCCAACGACTATACCGGATCAGAACCTGATGGAATCCTCATACACCGCCATTCCAGTTATTAAGCCTTCTCCCCTAAACCCTAGACCTTACTAGAGCAGATTAGCTGGCCTTCTTGAGTTTGGCATTCTCTGCACGGAGCTTCTCCAACTCCTCTCGGTGCCACAGTAGCTTTAAGGCCTATAGGGCCTGGAGGGGGTGCTCTCAGCTGCTCAAACCCTAAACCCTATATACTTTAGAGGCCCTGGGTGCTGAAGCGCTGATCATAAGGGGCCTGGATAGAGGCTTCTTTAGGATTAGGAACCGGGCATGGAGCTTGGGGCGCCGCCAACCTGAAGCAAAGAAGCTACCCGCAAACCCCAAACCCTACTAAAGGGGGGGCCTGAATAACTTGGGTATTATAGTACACAAGAAAAATACGGAATTCCCCAAAATTAGTATAGTATAGGTAATTATTCAGGCCCCTATATTTCACAACTATGGTGAAGAACTCTCCCGCACTCAGGGCCAAAAGCAAAAAAAAAACAAGGGCGAACAGTAAGGCCTGGCAAAAAGCTTCGTGCCCCAGCTGCCGGGTTCTGGGCTGGGCCGGGGCTTTCTGATCCTCGGCTTGTCACTAGGCTGAGCGTTGACTGATAGAGCTCAAGATTATGTAGATTCGCAAACAACTTTACTTAAACTTTTCAGCCTAGAAAGCAGCGACAGGGATGCCCATGCCTTAACCAAACCAGGCCAAGGAACGCACACCTCTAATCAAGGCTTGTGCTGTGCACAATTTCGCCAGCATCTGAAAATGCTAAGTTAGGCCTCTTGGCGTCCTTGTAGTATCGGTGCGAACTCTATTCCCTATAGTGACCCCGCAAACCTAGACATCCAGAGCCTGCAAACAAAAAGCGAAGCTATTCGAGCCACGCGGCCTGAAGGCAATGCTTGAGGATCCAATCGATCTCAACTTACGATGTTCGAAGTCCTAAAAACAATTCAACCTCACAGGACCAAAGCTCTAGGCGAGCAGCAAACCCTTCCTGGCACTCACAAATCCAATAGCGACAACAGTTGATGACCTTCTGGGGTATCCCGCGGCCCAAAACCCTAAAACATAAACCCTACACCGAACCCTAAACCGTGGTACTACGGTTGATGATACAAATCCTGCATTACCCATAAGAGGGAATATACCATCATTCCCATAGTTTAGGATCCTTAAGGTAATGCAGGGTTTATATCATCAACAGTATACCCACCTCGAATCCTGAAGCTCTCCCCAGTAAGTAAGCATGAACAGTTGTGGAGTTGTGGAACCCTTGTCGCACCTCTTCGTAGAATTAACTTCTAGGATCCTTTACATTGATAGCTTTGACTCAGGCGTTGATATTGTCCACGTTGGGCTCCTGCAACAGGCTAGCAACCTCCGAGCAGTTGCGATGTACAAAGGGGTGGCGCCATCATGCATGGCCTTGTCCTTGTCCGCATTGGCCTCCAGCAAAAGCCGGGCAACCTCCCAATGCCTTTGCGCAGCTGCGACGTGCAAAGGGGTGGTGCCACTCTTGTCGGCCTTGTCCTTGTCCGCATTGGCCTCCAGCAAAAGGTGGGCAACCTCCAAACGCCCTCGCTTAGCTGCGACGTACAAAGGGGTGGCGCCATCATGCATGGCCTTGTCCTTGTTAACAAGTCGCATTGGCCTCCAGCAAAAGCCGGGCAATCTCCCAATGCCCAGTCTCAGCTGCGATGTACAAAGGGGTGGCGCCACTCTTGTGGGCCTTGTCCTTGTCCGCATTGGCCTCCAGCAAAAGGCGGGTAACCTCCCAATGCCCATTCTCAGCTGCTTTGTACAAAGGGGTGGAGCCATCAAAAATCGCCTTGTCCTGGTCCGCATTGGCCTGCAGCAAAAGGCGTACAACCTCCAGATGGCCGTTCTTGGATGCCGCAAATAGTGCCGTCAACATTGACCAATCACAACATAAATCTGGATCTTGCGGCCTTTGCAGAAGACTCTCCACTGCTGCTGCCCGACCGCTTTCTGCAGCATCCAGAAGGGCTTCCACTTGAGCTTTAGATGATTGGCAGAAGCTTAGAAGTACGACCTGAGCTTCCCCGGGTCTCAACGTGTGCTCGTCATCTAGAACCACGTCATCATCAGCATCATCCTTCTCATTCTTCTCATCATCCTGAGCATCCAGAAAAATAAGCCTTTGCCTGAACCTTGACAGCCCACACATGCTGTGCAAGTGCTGCTTCAGTGCCCGAACTGCAGACATCCCTTCAGGAAGCGTTGCGTGAAAGCTCGCCAAGTTCACATCAACGAGTCGTTCACCCGACACAGTGCGAATGCGCAGCATGTCGAGCGCTAAAGGGCAAGGACTCGCACTGGCAAGGAACAAGCTTCGCCGTATTGCACGCTTCGGACCAAGAAGCTCGTAACTACCAATGATCTTCCTTGCCTGAGGTAGCATTTAGTGTACATTGTGCACAGTGTTGTGACTATGCTGGACATTGGATTAATCCTGCAGTGGCAAACACCTCGGCTACTCTGTAATGCGACCTAAATACTCCTTATCAAGGGCTTTGAAGTGTCCGTGAAAAGATACCATGGTTGTCCTGTGCAATTGATAGAAGGTTTTGTTGTTGAGCCAACACTCGCGGATGTTGCAGCTGTGGCTTTCTAAACATCCCTAAAACCGATTACTACACCCGAAACCGTGATTGAAAAAAAGGAAACTACACCCGAAACCATCATCGAAAAAAAAGAATCTAAACCCCCCCCATGTTGAAAAAAATAAAGAACTCAACTTAAGCCATCAGGAAACTCAACCCCAGACCCCCCTCCCCCTCCCCCTCCCCCTCCCCCCCCCCTCCCCCCTCCACCACTGAAACCCAAACCCTAAACCCTTAAATCATAAACCCTAAACCTTCAGTCCTGAACGTTAAACCCGAAACCCTGAATCTTAAATCCTAAACCTGCAGTCCTAAACCCTATAAACCCTAAACCCTTAAATCATAAATCCTAAACCTGCAGTCCTAAACCCTATAAACCCTAAACCCTTAAATCTTAAATCCTAAACCTTCAGTCCTAAACCCCAAACCCCAAACCCTAAACTTTGTGGTCGCCAGGCCTCGACGTCGGCCATGGCGCTGGCCCTGAGCCCGGTCGAGGATTTAGGGATGAAGGCGTGAGATTGAGGGCATGTAACTCTTAGGGTTTAGGGTTTAGGGTTTCGGGTCATTAGGGTCATGGGTCATTAGGGTTTAGGGTCATTAGGGTTTATAGGGTTTCGGGTCATTAGGGTTTAGGGTTTAGGGTTTAGGGTTTAGGGTCATTGTAAGATCGCGGGTTCGGTGTTTTTGCAGGATTTGGGGTTTCCGGCTCCGGGCTTGCGTGTTGGATCCCATGGGTTCTTGGCAATGCATGCCGCCGCGTTGCCGCCTGAGCCCGATACGGCATGTTAAGATAGTCATTCCGCCCACCTTTTAGAATTTCGGGCTCAGGTTTATACTGGACCAGTAAGAATGCCGTATCATTTTGCATTTTTCTAAAAGTTCCCTTCAGAAACAGGACCACTAAAAGCATTAAAGTCTGGCACTCCAGAACCAAGTTTATGGCTTAGGATGGTTTTGGGCTTCGGTTTCTTGGTGCTGACTCAGTACCCTAAACCCCTAAACCCTTATAAACCCTAGCCCTAAACATTTGGGTTTGGGGTTTCGGTTTCTTGGCTCCGCTTCAGGGAAGGGTTGAGGTTTAGGTTGCTCGATCTCTGGGATGGCCTGCGATCGAGGGCGCGCTTTGGGCTTCGAGCCTTATCTCTATATACATACATATATACTTATCTCTCTACGTCCATATCTCTTTCTGTATGTATACATATATGCATCGAAATAGTAAGCAAAAACAACTAAATAAGCATATATATATATGTATATATATATACATATGTACATATATATATATATATGTGTGTGTATGCATGCATG